AAAAACCAAAAACTGATGCCGGAAGCAGCGTCATCAGTAGCGACTTGAAGCACAGAACAAATGATGCTCGAGATGGTTCAAGTTCGTATAGCAACAGGCGTGACCAGAGTGGTTTGAACGGCTGCTGTACTGCGATGTGGAAAGCAAATGGAAAAACTATCACATTATCACTTTTCCTGGATAGTCTCTTTCCAAAAACAGAAGATCGCATTAAGTGGAGGAACTGTTTTGGAAGAGATTGTGGACCTGTCGTCTGACAGATTACTGATGAATGAATGAATACTAGTATTACTGAATATCAGCTTCCCGGTCTGCGGTTGAATTCACTTATCGGCTTCAGTTCCTAAGCAAAAGACATTCTAATGTAATTCTTCAGAGCATCCACTATCTAAGGCGAAAACCAAAGAAGTGCCATGCATCATAAACGAGTAAAAAGTAAAAAAAAAAAAAAGTAAAGGTATCCCTGTAACAGACCGTGGACGCCCATAGGGCTGTGAGATGTTGAGGTTCCCACATTTTCTAGACAATCGGCTCAAAGATGGCGGTAGGGTTGTCAGCCTTACGCGCTGGCCGCCCTTTACCCCCAGGAATATTCCTGGTACTCATTTCGATTAGAGGCTGAGTCGGCCCCAGGGCCATAGAGCGGCTGGAAGGATTAGGTAAATTAAAAATATCCGCCTCATCGGGATTCGATCCCGCGACCTTCAGGCTTGTAGCATAGCGCCTCAACCAACTACGCTACCGTGTGACCAGTATCAGAAGATTAAAAATATGCTTCTTTTAATGAAAAGTTGTTATCTCCGTCGAAGTTCAAATATGAACATGTGTGGTTTCGACTCCCGGCAGGCTCCATGGACAGACTCGGGATGGGAATTCTGTTAGTCAGTCGCGTCATCTAACAATCTTTTAATTCCGGTGATTGATCGAATAGTCTCCTTCTGCTGCTCCGATCTTCGATCTCCCCCCAAATTGTTACATTTCCAATCGCTTCATATTAAAATACAGTTTGCTCAGCAATTTCATCAATGGCTGGCCTAAGTTTTGCGTCTGTGGCAAAGCGTGCTTACAAGGTTTAGTATCCCGACGGATTTTGAAACTTTTTCCATTCAAAATGCACCTGTTCATATTTAAAACCGTAAGGATTTGCGGAAAACATGTACTGGACATAAATATTTGTCTCATTTTTTTTTACACAGTTTTCGAAATGTTTTCATTTCACATTGGTTTTCATTCAAGGTGCTCGTTATATTTGTCCAGTTTTAATTAAAATTTGAATATATTAAATTATATTATTAAAATTCCACGAGAAGCTGTTCAGCGGTTCTCGACTTTTTCCTGCGTACAAATTAACGACAGGACAGACGGAGCGAATTTAATAAGAGTCCCTCGTAATTTCGAAAGCGTCTAAAAACGAGATTTTCCATCTTTTTCGAAAATATAACCTCCTTGTTTTCTATTATTATTGCGAGACTTGAATGAGTCGAAATTATGCACCTGGTGCCATCTCCCTGTTTTACTTCATTTCATGGAAAATTTTCAATTATATGTCTGTTCATACATGTGTATACGTGGATGATATGCTATATGAATGGAAGAAAATAGTTCATAAGGGAAGAAAAATTGGAAAAAGGCAACTGAATACACTCATGTTTGCAGTTGACATGGTTTTAATATTTGACAAGAAATAGCAACGTTCCAGTTAAGCGAAATTGGCAAAGATTACAACATGAGAATATTAACAAGAAGAAAAGTAATGATGGCATTTCATGGAGAGTACCAGACCGACGGCAAACTTACTGAACAAATAACACACTTTAAATACGTATGTCGGTAGTGCTGTGACACACGAAATGGATCAGGATATAAACCAGAAAAAAAAAAAAATCAGGCTATTTGTGGAAAAGCTTGCACAACACTGAAAGGGAAAACAAGAGAAGATCTCTCTTGCTGTGTGGCAGTGAGGCATAGACAACGAAGACCAGAGATGAAAGCAGATTATAGGCAACAGAAATTCTTCCCTTGAGAGTTGTCGAAGGGTGCACAAAACAAGACCATGTTACAAATGAAGACATTGGAAAGAATTTAGAGGCGGAATTAATAATGCAAGAAATAATACACTATAGACAAAACCGGAATTAAATATAAAAAGAATGCCGGACGAAAGAATACCAAAGCAAACAATGAAAGACCAGCCATATACAGATCCAATGGCCTCCCCAGGAAAAGATGAATAGAATGGTGAGACCGGAACAGGCTTAGCCTAATCCATGGAGGAGGAGGAAGAGGAAGAAGAATAAGATGTGTGAATGTATAAGTACTTATATTAAAATTCACAGAAATAAAGAAATATCATCCCGCCTTATCACGGAGGATAGTAAGGGCGAGGCATGCAACAGCAAGAGACATGAGAAATGCACGCAGAATTGTATTCAGGAAACCTGAAGTGAAGAGGCAACTTAAGAGTCCTAGGTGTAGACGACAGAATAATAATAATATAGATCTGAGAGGAGTCGTATTTGAGTGGGGTCCAACCTACTCAAAAGATAAAGAAGAGGCAAACACTCACGGACATGCTAATGAACATTCGGACTCCATAAAGGGCAGGCATTTCTTGGCCATCTGAGCAACTATTAGCTTCTCAGGAATTCCTTTGCTACTTGCAGTTAGTTAATGACATCTAAAAACAAAATATTATATCTATATTACGAATAAATTTCTAGCCAATCAGTTGTTGTGCGGTCTCGAGTCGCTGGGATACTAATCGCAGGTCCGAATTCCACTCGGCGCATCAATATTGCATGGAATATTTTTACTGTGTGAATCGGATCCAGGGCTCTGCGCTTCACGGCGTCCGGTGCGCCGCTTGCCGCGAGGAACATGCGTATTTTGCAGATGAATCGGTATGCCTGACGGCCAATAACGTTCAGAATGAAGTAGTTACAATTCACAGGAGGCGTTAAAAATGCTGTCATTCCTACATGTAGATATTTTTCGCAATTAATTGTTTCGTTAAAAAACACAGGCACAACAATCCTTCTTGTACTTACAGCACACCAGACACCAACTTTCACTGGATGGCTTCAGCAATTGTGTTGCCATTCTTACACTAGACTATGACAATACAGTCCCCTTCAGCCCCAATGGTTCTCAACCTTTGTGAAACCGCGGCCCAGTAATATCTTTTTTATAGGGCGAGGACCCGGTACCAGGCCGCTGCCTGGCGGTTGAGAAACACTGAGCTAAACGCTTCAGTGATTTTCTAGGTGTTTGTTCAAGTCTGGCCCCTCTGTCATCAAACTTCTCCTCAGTAAGCACTCGACACTTATGTTTTTGTTTCTTGTCTATTAAGAGTGCCGTTGTTCTAAGTTTATTCACCAAATAATGAATTGTTTGTCTGCTGGGAACTCTTTCATCAAGAAATTTATGTCGAAATTTTCGCTGATATTTTCTAGCAGATCCGTATTTCACATGGGTGACATACAGAATCACACATTGCTCTAAAGTATACCGCACCATGACGTACACTCTGCTCACTGACCGAATCTGAGAACAAATCGCTAATGGAGCTGGTAACTGCTGTCTGCTGCTGACAAATCATAATCTCTCATGAATGAACCGCACTGTTCGCCATGCAAAATAATACCATCAAGCGGTCCATAAGTTAATTACTTCTTCTCATTTCAAACGTTATACGCCATCAGGCATACTGATTCATCGGAAAAAACTTGTATGCGGCTCACGGCAAGCAGCGCACAGGTCGCCGTGAAGCGCAGAGCCGTTGACCAGGTCTACATAGTAAAAATATTCCTTGTACATCTATGTGTTTCCCCTGCCCCCCTGCTGTCTGTGAAAGCAGAAGCTTTGTATTGGTCGAGTCTTATTAAATGTTTATAATGATGCTTTCATAATTCCTTCCAAATTGGAACAGGCCAAAGACTAATACATGACAGGCACTACAATAGGTGGTACCTTCTATGACAATTAAAATACGACTGTTAGGTAGTGTTCAAAAGTTTCAAGTATTTTAGACATAAACAAATGTCTTCTTATTTATTGGAAACCACCATTTGCTACAGATATGAGCATCCGATAGATACAGTGAAGGACCTGGCAGACAGTAACCTTCCGTGGGTTAATGTTCATGAGGCTTGGGTGTGGTCCCTCCTAGACTCTGAAGACCCTGTCTCGAAGACGCTAGTTCAACACTTCCATGTCCTTACTGAGGAGGAGATGACAGCACTGTCGACTCAAGGAAAAACAGCATTTTCCCTTGAGAAACTCGCCGGCGGTAAGACAACAGTTATCCTTACAAGATAGAGCAAGTACACCAAATGACAAATCCTCAAAAAAGGATGTGGAAAATTTTGAATATATGGTAGTGACAGTAACCGATCAAAATTGCAGTCATGAATCAGATAACAAAAATTAAATTCAGGGAACCATTCAGTTTAGAATCATTTGTTTTCTTGTTTCTTACCAAAACCTAAAGATTAAATTATACAGAGGTATAATTTTGGCTGATTTATATCTGTAACTTGATCTTTTGTCTTAAGGAAGAAACAAAGCCTGCTGGTGTTAAAGAATATGGTGTGAGTAGAATATTTATTCCTGTGAGAAAGGAAACCACAGGAGAATGGAGGAATTTGCATAAAGACGAACTTCATAATCAACACTTCTTTTTTTAATATTAGGGCGATCAAATGTAACACATGTAGAAGACTGAGAAGATCAGAAATGCGCACAACATTTTAGCATGGAAACCTGAAGTAATGAGACTGCTTGGGGGACCTAGGCATAGATGGGATAATATAAAATAGATCTTTGGATAAAGCCTGTGAGGGTGTGAGCTGAATTCAGATGAAAGGTTAGGATCTAGCAGCATGCTCTTTTGAACACAACAGTGAATTTTTGGGTCCATAAAATACTTGGAATAGACCAGCTAAGGCACTGTCAGATTTTCAAGCACTGTTGCCTTGGAGTGTCTTGACCCTCAGCTCCAAAAATATCGTTCAGTAGATATTTCTGTTGAGAAACCTTCTATGGAGACACCAGAGAAGGAAGTAGTTTGCAATTACACAGGCTAAATTCCCAATTTCCTTCCTTCCAGTTTAATTCTTACTGCAGCAACTGTCCTCTTACATTTAATGCTTTTCAGATCACTATTCTGTACCAATTCACATAAACGAGACAGCTGTCCACACATTGCGGATTATGAATGAGATGCTGTATGGCGGTCATGTTGTAACCATCATCAGAAAATCATCCCCATACAAGGAATACTTCAACCAAATCATCAGCAGCCTGTACGAGACAGGCATAGTGCACTACTGGGAGGGGCAAACCATTCAAAGATACATGTCACAGCGCCTCCAGATCGCCATCAAACAGAGTGTTGTCCTTGACACCCAAGATGGACCCATACAACTTACGGTTGTCCATATACAAGGAGCATTTGTAATACTGGGCCTTGGTCTTATTCTAGCTACAGTTTTGTTCATAGCTGAAACGGGTTATTGTGTAATCAGACAACACTACAGCAATTTTAAGAACAAATTCAGATAACCTGATTGTAAATATTTTCTTTAAGATACTGAAAAAAAAAACTGAACATGTACATTCATTGGAAGCTGATGAATTTTAAATTTGGTGACTGCCATGCATCGTGCTCTTTAACATCACACAGAAATTCTTAATGTGATTATATGGTTTTAGCAATTTCAGTTCATATTTCTTGGCAGCATTGTAGATACAGTATTAACTGAGTGAAAAGTTAAGTGACTGAAAATGAGTAACTACCCCCTTTGAGCACAGTCAGCAAGCAACTAGCTACTAGCTATTCAGATGGTCAAGAAAATCCATGGGTGTTATGGAATTTGAAGGTTCATTAGTGAGTTCACAAGAGCTCTCCACTGTTCCTTATCTTGAAGCATTTGATTCCAGGGTGTTGCTGTCAAAATTTTAGCTACTAGTTAGCATGTTCAATTTTGAATCTTTTATTTTCCAGAATTAAAAAGGGACTGGCAGTTTCTTCAGAGCACACAGTAGCATAGTTGGTTGAGGCACTATGCTACAAGCTGGAAGGTCGCCGGTTTTGAGTCCCAATGAGGTGGATTTTTTCAGTTTACCTAATCCGTCCAGCTGCACTATGGCCCTGAGGTCAACTTAGCCTCTAACAGAAATAAGTATCAGGAATTTTTCTGGGAGTTAAAGGGCACTTGGCATGCAAGACTGACAACCTTACCGCCATCTGTGAGCCAACTGTCTAGAAAATGTGGGAGCCTCAATGTCTCACAACCCTATGGGCCTTCATGGCCTGTTACAGGGACTTTACCTTTTACCTAGAAGTTTCTTCATAAGAGTCTCCAAAATAATACTCAAAAGTATGCAAATCAAGTAATCATCGCTAACTTTAACATACATTGTATATACCGGAAGTAAGCACTGAAGATTTGCTTGGATTTTTTTTTGTTTTCCTTTTACTTTTTCAAAAAACTTTTCCACCCCTTCATCTGATCCTTTCTCCTTCTATGCTTTTGTAAGATAATACAAAATATCTGCTGGTAACAAATATATAATAACAAATTCATTCAAGGCAAGGTAATAAAAAGGTGCCTAATATAAAATTAATATCAGGAACTATAACAGTAAGGTGTTCATGAAAGGACTGACTACTGTACAAGGGATATTCATAAAGTGATCTCTAGTGAGCTGTTAACAAAACAGGCAAAGAAAAAAATTATTATACACAAAAATATACATACATACTTAAGCTGTTTTCAATGTAGCTGCGCTGGAATTGTGGCATTTGTCTTATTGGGGAATAACTTTTTGTATGCCTGTGTCAAAGTAGTCTGCTGCCTGTGAGCTCAGCCACGTACTGACACCTTCCATCTACTCCTCATTATTGTCAAGGCACTGAAGGTAAACAGGTGGTAGTCACTTGAAGCAAGATCAGGACTCTAAGGAGGGTGGTCAAACAATACCCAACTGAAATTCTCCAGCAGTGGTCAAATGTGAGCAGCTGTATATGGACAGACATTGTCATGAAGGAGCACTACACTGAATGTCTGCATTCCATGCCATTTATTTTAAATGGTCAGCCCTATGCAGTTTCTTTAGTTTTTCAGAGTATATTTCTGTGTTATTGTGGTCCCTTTTTGCATGAATTAAATAAACCATCGGCACTCCTTTCCTGTCCCAGAAAACAGTTTCCGTCAGCTTTCTAGCAGACACTTTTTTAAACTTCTTCAGCTTGTTTGGTGAATGTGTGCATCCATCACCTGTTACTGATACGATGTGACTGAGAAATTCATCACCATCTTTGTGATGCTGCTCTAAAAAAAGTAAAAGCTGACCCCATCTCTGTGTCTTTTGCACACCTATGAGCATTTTTTGAACCCATCCTCCGCAAGACTTGGGATAGGCTAGCATAACTGTGACAATGTTGTAGAAAACAGTGCATGAAGTTTGTGGAAATTTACACAAAGTTCTGAAATCGCAAAGCACCGCCTTTCACAGACTTTTTGCTCAACAAGATCATCACTCACTCCACATGGCTGATCACTTCTTTGCCCATCTCTGAACATTTTCTATCGTTTTTTTATAGTTCCTTCACTCACTACACTTTGGCCGTAAACCGCTGGGCATAATTCACAATCAATTTCTGTAGTACTCATGCTTTAGCATGAAGAAAGAGGATAACAGCACGAATTTCGCAGCTGATGGTATTGTGAATCGTAGGACACATCAAAACTCACTCTGCAGAGACAAGAACAAACACTAGATGACCAGTTATGTGATGGTTTGCAAGGCAATGAGACATGTGATGCTACTGCACACATGCAAGCTCTCTCCTGCTCCTACATTACTTGAGTAAAATAAACAGAGGCTACTTTCTGAATAGCCTTCATGCATTTTATGTAACTTATTTAAACAAACATATTACAAAAGTAAAACAAGTCAGTTATCGGATGGTTAGAACTTATGGTGCAGGTGTTCAGTATGTCCACCATTGTTCTTGACACTATTTCAGAATGTGCACAATATGTCTGTCATCCACCTCAACAACATGGCATATATGCACAAGAATTCTTGCACTGTCCACCCCACAACACTGGCACCAATATTGCTGGTGAATATTCATATTTCGCTTTTCAGATCTGCAATATTTCAATGATAACTGCAACAGACATGATCCTAAGATGGCTTCACCAAACATAATCACATGGATTAACATCAACAAATCTGTCATGATAGTGGTTCAAAATTATTTGATAATGAAAATTACTATTTAAAATGTACATAACAGTATCAGTAGCATGTGGCCATGGTCAAACTTGTTGAAATAAAAAACCCATTGATATGACACCTATTCCTTGCAAAATTTGAAGAAAGGTCCTTCCAGAAATATCTCATAACATTCAGAGCTCACATTCTCTTCTAGGCATATGTGGCTCACAGTATTAACAGCAGAAAAAGCACACCAAAATGTACACTATGCTGGCTAAAGTGGAGCACCTTCATCAAGGTTTGGATTTTCTGCTCCCCATATTTGACTATTCTGTAGCAATCCCATTCAGATAAATAAAAAATGTTATGTAGTGCAGGCCACCATATTCAAACCAAACTACCAGCCTTACAGTATACAAGTATCCAACACCAGAACAAATGATCATGCAAAACAAACAATGTTTTTAAATTAAAATAGTCAGAAATTTCAACAAGACACTGTACAAACACAGTACAAAATTAATTAAAGTAAGATAAAAATACAATAAATAATACAACAAATTAGATTAAAATTAATAAAGAAAACAACAACCTCTATAGAAATATTGTCTCATTTTTTCAAGACAAAATTCCAAATCCCTTGTTCATTTTCCAATGGAATTTCAATGACTCTTGGTCTAACCTGAGTACCTACAGTCAACCAATGACCAGAATCATCTCTTCACATATGGAGTAGCATCCTTGATAAATAAAGCTTTCCACAGGAGTTTGATCATCAGACCTGAACCACAATGATGAATACATGTAATTCCTCCTCTTTTCATTGCCAGTGACATTCACAACACTGGAATCTCATCTGACTTCAGCACTCATAATTGCAATGACACTAACTGTCTTCTTGATATGTTTAATGGATAGTGGTGAAACTTCTTACTTTGGCTGAGTCCAACTTCAGTAATAACTCTGTACAGTCCCAAAAACCATTTACATTCATTTGATTCATAAAATCTTGAGACAGTTGTCTTTATTTTCTCTGCCTTATCCATGGCCAATAATCTGTTCAGTGGTAGGTGTAGCCAGCTTCAGTATGCTGAACACTTTCAAAATTTCTTAGTACTGAGTTTTTGCACAGCTACATTGTCATTATGTCTATGATACTTTGAAGAATCTTTGCAAAGCGATTTTATTGCAAATTTTCTACAAACTAAGTTGACCCACACACACACACACACATTCTTTTACTTCACAGATCTGACTCATGTGAATAATGACACTTTCATTTAAATTTTCTCATTTGCTTTACATGATGTTGTACAGGTAGAATGAGACTGAAGATCTTCTGAAAAGAAGCTGATTTCTTCCCAAACCAATCATAAAACTAAGATCTTTAGAAACAACACATTTTCATCTTTTTGCCATACCAGTGATTTTTTCGCCTAGAGAAACGTTCATATAATGCCAAAACTTGCAAAACACCTATAGAAACTCTCAAGCTACAAACTGCTCACCTAGGGCCATGGCCACAGCCAATTTTAATGAGTTTTATTTCTACCCTGCAATATTCAGGTAGTTCTGCCTGACATTTAATGCAAAAAAATCATGCACAGAACCTCTGAAGTGGGTTACTGTCTCAAGATAGGTGACAGTCATCATGCATGTGCTGTAACCTGCAAAAACTTAGCAATTAAATACAAAAATTAATTGCAATAAAACAAGTAACTGTTTATTAAAAACAAAATTGTAAGTATATTTGTAAGTATGAATTATAAGAGATGATTTTTTTTCCCCATTGGCGCTACAGCCCTCGTTTGGGCCTAGGTCTACCTCCACGAAACTCTCTGTTTCACTTCGGTTTACTAGATTTTAGACATATGGTAGGTTTCCTTGGGCGGGTGATCAGCTTGTCACAAGGCCTTTACCTGTACACAAATATAGAAAAACGCACACATACATCCATGCCCTGAGTGGGATTCGAACCCACGATTCCAGCTTCCGAGCGAGTGAAGACAGTGCATGCCTTAGACCGCTCGGCTACCGTGACCGGCCGATATTTTATTTCACCTGAAATTAAAAGTTTGCATTAGCATATACTGTTTTATTAATGAAATGTACAAATATTGAAAGAAATGTGTAATCAAGTTTTACCACGAAGGTATATGCCATACTAAAATCAAACTACAGATGACTATTGCAGCATCTAGTGAAATGGGACACTGTGTTTGATGGCCCCACTGTATGCATAGTTTGTAAACCCTCCAGAATAGAATCCAATTTCATTACATGAACGTAATACCACATATTTCACACATCTTAATTTACAAAACCAGTTACTTTTAAAATTCTTGCCAGTAATGATCCTACATCATTTCCATGCTATTTTTGTATATATCACTAGAAATCAAGTCGTAAGTTACACATTGCTTACACTATGGTTCATAAATTTATATTACTTGTTTTCACCTTTCAGGACATATAGTAATCCGTCACAAACCTTGTTGTTATGTTCCTGAAAAAACAGCAGTTAGCAAGGCAATTCTTATAGGAAACTAGAGGTTAGGAGAACTGGGATTGCTGTTAATATTCAACAAAGCTTAAGATCAAATAAAGCTGTAAATATAAATCCTGAATTGAGAACATTAAAAGATGTGCAGCTGGTAGCATAATATGAAAATTTTGAACTTATCTGACAACTACAGCCCTGTCCCTATGAAATGTGAATCTCTTGGTGTGGAACCCACCAATTTTTCAACATGTACATAAATTAAAAATCACTGATACACAACACCAAATAATGCAGCTGGTGAAACTAAAAGGTGAATGCAAAAGTGCTGTTACTTCAAATGCGTGACTAGCAATGCCATGGTTGACAAAGGATTGCTGTTCTTGTGAAGTGAAATGAATTCCTCATATTTATCCTCTGATGTTGCAAGTGGAACCTGTACTGAGCACAACATGATACAGTGTTATTCATACACCATTCAGAAGGGAAAAACTGCAGATGTGTATATTTTTATAAAACATGTAAAATTAGCCATAGTGATTTATAACTGCTTAAAGTGGACTACCATCCTTTTAAAGGAAGTACAAATTATCCTTTTCTTTCAAAATATAATGTAATATAATAAAACCAATACAATTACAGTAATGTACAGGAGACACTCAAATTTCACAGGTATATAAAACTGATAATTCACATACATATATTGGCATATTTACACTCAGCATTTGCCAGGCAATATTTTCAGTCACAATCTGAAATTAATTCCTTAATGTAAATTTTCAGTCATAAAATTAAATCTGTTTGTTAAAGTAAACTGTGTCAAAATCATCAGTGATTGATTTGTATACAATCCAAAACTGTCTAAAACAGGAGTTACACAATATCCAACCTAGCTGTTACCTCAGAACAGTGCTAGTTTGGACATACTCTAGCTGTGTAAATTGTTTCTGTTGAGTTTCAAGAGTCAACACACAGGTATTAATGATCTGAAAATGATGGATACACACTTGAAAATGCATAGAAAAATTCCATACATTAGGAACGGCATTACAGGAAATGAAAACACAGAAAAATATTTTATGGAAATTACACCACATTGGAAAACAAATATTACTTTTAAGAAAGCAGTCTTCTGGGATTTGGCACCGTGTATATGTGATTTTAACCGACGTTTCGGAGGAACGTATCGCCTCCATCTTCAGGGTAGAAGGAAAAATATAAGAAATCTGCAAGCGAAGAGACCGTGAGAACCGGTAAAAGCAGAGCTCTTCACTTGCGGATTTCTTATATTTTTCCTTCTACCCTGAAGATGGAGGCGATACGTTCCTCCGAAACATCGGTTAACACCACATATACACGGTGCCAAATCCCAGAAGACTGCTTTCTTCATAGTCACGGGCGCGAAAGCCTCAAATCTTAAATATTACTTTTACTAAGTATCATTAACAGCTTAATGAACCCGTAGACTTACATGGAGAATTAAGCTCCTTATACTTGTAAATGTTGCTGTACTCCTAGTTAAAACATTGTTTCTTTACTTGATTTAAGACCAGGCTCTGGTCCAAACACAGGGAAATGCATAGTACCTCCTTCCTTGAATGCTTCTCTACGGGGATCACCAAAATCATCTAACCCACTTTCCATGCTGATATTGTCTTGACAACTGAGAGTAAAAACCTTCAAAGATATCCAGCCTCAGTGAACCCAAAGTATATAGATACAAATTCAGTAACATTCAGTTTATGTTTGAAATTTCAGCACAGTGCATTAAATAATGAAGTAATATATTCGCAAAAGTAAGTGTGTAAAAACCACATCAAATTAATATGTAAAAAATGAAATCAAGTGGAAAATGATACCAGAAATAAAACTTGTAATATGTGCAAAACAAAGAAAGCATGTTTCACCAATAAGTTTAACATTATAGCTTCCTTAAATTCCTAATGACAGATGCAACAGTAATGAAGTGTGTGGTATTCCATTTTCTTGGGAGTTGTTGGTACTTAGTGGCAAAAATGTCCTTCTGTACTGGCAGGAGTGGGTAGAACTGGTCCTCTTGTACATTGAAATAAGATTTCAATCACATTTCCATATCTAAACATCTAACATCTAAAAGTATTTGATAACCTCAAGCTGATTGAGGTGGAAAATTTAAGGGAATTGTTCACTAACCACGAACTGCATCTTAATGGAAAAGGTAAGGAGAGTCTTGCTAATAAGATTGTGAAGGCAACAAAGGACATATATGTGAAGGGGTCAACACCAATTGAGAGGAAATGGAAGGAAGAAATAATGGGATCCAGTGATGAGGATGATGATTTAGTGGATGACCAGAATGCGCCTAACCAGGAAGCCCAGGATGGTGATGGACATGTAAATGAAGAGCAGGTTACGGAAATTTTGAAGTGTGATAAACAGATAGAAACCCAAGTAAAATGACCCTGAAATGTTCCAAAGAAAAGGAACCCGGATTTTTTATGGAAATAACGAGGGAAAACATAAGTAACAGTTTAAGTAAATGGGAAGTGAGAGGGAATTTAAAAGATAATATGTTTACAATCTTACACCATAATGTTCAGAGTCTAAGCAATAAGCACATGGAATTGACAGTACTTTTAAATTCTAGCTTGCAGGATGTAAATATACTGGCTTTACAGAACATCGGTTGGACGAATTCTCACTAACCTTGGTAGAAACAGATAAGTTCAAACTGGTTAGTAAATTTTGTAGAAAGCAAAGTAAGAGTGGTGGATCATGTATATTTGTAAACAAAGAGGTGAATGTAAGGGAAGTCACGTTTTTAAATGAACTGGGTAGTGAAAAATACTTTGAGATATCAGGTGTGGAAACTGAAAAATTTGAATGGGTATTGATATGTATTTACAGATCGCCTCAAGGTGATGTGAAAATATTTTTGAAGAAACTCGAATCTCTCATTGAGAGAATATACAAAAATAAGAAAAAATTAATAATCTGTGGAGACTGGAATATAAACCTGCTCCAGGAAAATGAGCAGGTCCAGTCATTGAAAAATTTGTTAGTATCTTATGATTTAATAAATATAGCCTCCAGTCCAACAAGAGTTACTAGTAGCTTGGAATCACTGTTAGATATGTTGGTGTTAAACAGATAGTTTAACAAGAATTAAATTGAGATTATAAATATGGGATATTCAGATCATTTGGCCCAGATTTTATGGGTATTAATAGATAAAGGTAATAATGAGAAAAAAAGCTTTAAAAAGAAAGTATACCATGGACAATATTGCTAAATTTATAACTTTGTTGACTACTGAATCTCTGGGGGAAATATATGTGGAAAGGTGTGTAAATGAGACATATAAGCAATTTATAAATAAATTCTTAGGCTATTTTAATCAAGTATTTCCACCAAAACCAGTAATAAAGAGAAATACTAAGAATAAGACATGGATATCAAAAGGAATAAAAATATCTTGCCGGAAAATGAGGTTCTTAAACGATTTAAAATGGAGGATAGCTTTGCCAATTGAAATAGTAAGCTGTATCAGTAGTTATGAAAGGATATATAAAAGGGTTATTTTAGAAGCAAAAAAGAGACAAAATGATAAATGGATAAAAGGGGCATCTAACCCAAATAAAATAATATGACAGATAATAAATAAAAGAATGGGCAAAGTAGGAAAGGATGACCAGGAGATTCGGTTACAAGGATATAATAGGAAAATATCCCACCCCCAGGAGGTGGCTGACACACTGAACTCATATTTTATAGACAAAGTTGAAGAACTCGTGGAGAAAAACAAGAGTAAGACCAAAGAAATATCGTTAAAAGAAGTTGTAAGAGGAAACCCAAATTCAGTGTATTTTGGCCAATCTCAGAAGAAATTGTCAAAGAAGCATCTAAATTAAAGGGCAAAGCCTCAGCGGGAGCTGACGGAATCCCAGGTTTTCTTATAAAAATATGCATCACGAGTATAAAAAAACCACTCAATTTTATATTTAATGAATCAATAAATCAAGGGGTTTTCCCTGATTTACTGAAAATTGCAAAGATCAAGCCAGTTTACAAAAGAGGAAACAAACATGAAGCGAGCAACTATAGACCTTATCAGTGCTATCAGTATTCTCAAAGATCTTGGAAAAAATAGTATACAATAGACTGGTGTCCTTTACAGCCAAATTTAAAATATTAACTGAAAAATAATATGGATTCCAAAAAGATAAATCAACAACATCAGCGTGTCAGTCATTTATCAGGAAGATACAAGAAGCTTTGGATAAGAAACTACTACCTGTGGGTATTTTCTTTGATTTAGCAAAGGCTTATGATGTTATTAACCATGATATTTTGCTAGAAAAATTAGAGCATTATGGGATAAGAGGGCAAATTAATGCCTGGCTAAAATCTTATCTAACACTAAGGGCACAATATGTGGAATTAATTTCTAAGGGTAACAGGGACTGTATGACTCATTTTAATTCAAAAATAAGGAATGTAAAGGTAGGGATTCCACAAGGGTCAACCTTGGGCCCGTTTTTGTTTTTCATTTACATAAATGACCTACCCCTCCATATAACTAATGGGGAAGTGGTGCTATTTGCAGATGATACCAGTATACTGGTAATAGAAAAGAACAAAAATATTCTTCAAGACAAAATAGATAAGGTAATGAAGCAACTCGAATCTTAGTTTTCAATGAATAATATGGTAAAAATTATGAGAAGACTACAGCAATGTATTTCCATATGAATAAACTACAAGATAGCATTGAGCCAGTAATTACCTTTAAAAATATAATTAATTAATTATACAGCACAGTTTAGGTTTCTTGGTATTAATTTAACTCACAAATTAAAATGGAACATTCATATTCAGTCAGTCTGTACAAAGCTCAGTAAGGTGTGTTACATTAATAAAGCTTTGAAAGGCGAAGTAAGCCCATATGTCCTTAGGAATCTGTACTTTGCTAAATTCCAGTCTCAAATAAGTTATGGTTTGATATTTTGTGGGGGAGAAAGTGAAAGTAAAAAAATTCTGATTTTGCAAAAAAGGGTTCTTCGAATAATGAAAGGAGTAACAAAAAGAATATCATGTAGACCTATATTTAGAGAACTAAAAATTTTAACAGTAACATCTTTGCATATTTTAGAGGTGTTATGTTCTTTCAAGAAATATAACATTTACACCACAAAAAAACTCTGACCTACATAACTATGACACGAGAAAGAAAGAAGACTGTCACGTGCAAAGTTATCATACCTTAGCATATGAGAAGGGTGTTACAAATATGGCTATTAAGCTTTATAATAGACTGCCTTTGGAACTAAGAATTGTAAAAGCACATAGATAATTCCTACATAAACTCAAAAGATATTTACTGGAACACCCACTGTATAATTTGCATGAGTTCCTTTCAGAAGAACAGTTAAACGAATAAGATTATCCTTGATAAATAGATTTAAATGTAAATAAAATGACTAGTAATTAGGTGAAGTTTTTAATATGATTCAGCCTATAAACGGAATAGAAGTCTTAAAAGAGATTGCACTCCAAATGATTTAATCATTATCTAAATTGAATTTTATCTTTTGTGGATTATTTTGATATAATAGGTTTTAAGTTTAAGAATATGACAGTGGTAATTAAGATATATACGAATATAGTAAGATGACCTTGTTTTTATAATGGAAGGTAGTTGTAAATTTGATTGCACCTAATATATTTTAATTATACCGAGAGTGTGATTTTAATTGTAATTGAATGTTAAGTTATGTGATATATAATGATGTTCAATCGATTGGGCAGGAGGCCAATTAGACTGGAAAAGTTGTATATGTATGTGACTTGTTCGAGAGTTACAATTTGTAACTGTGATGAATGTTAAATAAAATTACTATATTATAGATGGGATTTGGAGAAGTTATATGCTCAAAGACAAAGCATCCAGGAGACCCTAGAAGAGAAACTCGGTGCAACTGAAGGTGAAAGCGGAAATGCTGAAGTGCAGTGGAACAATATAAAAGAATGCATGTTAGATACTATCAGTGATTTGGTTGGTAAAGTTGAGAAGATAGCAAGAAAAACATGGGTTACACAGGAGATGATGAGTAAAATGGAGGAGCGAAGGAAATGGAAGAATGTCAACAATGAAGAAGGCAGGAGGAAATACAGGAGACTGAGGAATGAATTGAAAAGAGCCACGGACAGGGCCAAAAAGGAATATCTTGAGAAGATATGTAATGAGATTATGGAATTTCAAAGAACAGGCCGTTATGATTTGATGTACATGAAGACAAAAGAACTAGGATGGAAAGAGAATCATGGGATTCAAAATGTTGGCATCGAAGACTCCCAGGGGAATAGAATAGTAGATCAGAGGCAAGTGCTGAAAATTTGGGAAAATTATATTTCAGAACTATATGATCGACCTAATCGGCCAGAAACCTTAGAAGTTGAACCGGAAGAAGAAGTAGATACAGACGAGAAAGGACCATATATTTTACAAAGTGAGGTGGAAAAAGCTATCAAGGAAATGAGGAAGGGAAAGGCTACAGGAGATGATGATGTACCTGGAGATGTGCTCAAGTTACTGGGAGAAGGTGGTTTGAAAACACTGACAAAACTAATGAACACCATATATGAAAGTGGAGAGTGGCCCAAGGACTTTACAGAAGTTACAATGATTGCCTTAAAGAAAAAGACAAAAGCTACAAAATGCAGCGACCATCGCACAATAAGTCTTATTGCACATACAGCAAAGATAATAGCAAAGATACTTAAAAGAAGAATTGAAAGGAAAATAGAGGATGTACTTGGAGAAGATCAGTTTGGATTTAGAAGAGGAAAAGGAACCAGGGATGCAATTGGGATGATGAGAATTATAGCGGAACGAACTTTGGAGATAGATGAAGAACTGTGTGTTTGCTTCATAGACTGGCAGAAGGCATTTGACCGGGTAAACTGGACCAAATTAATGCAGATCCTGAAAGAAACAGGTATCGATTGGCATGAAAGAAGATTGATTAGCAAATTGTACATGGATCAGAAAGTTAGAGTACGACTGGACAGGGGGGAGACAGGAAGTGTGCAGATTGGAAGAGGAGTTCGACAAGGATGCTGTTTATCACCAATTCTGTTCAACTTGTACAGCGAATGCCTTACCAAGGAAGCTCTGGATGGGCTCGGTGACTTCAAAGTAGGAGGGCAAATTATTCAAACTGTGAAATATGCAGATGACCTTGTGTTAATGGCTAAGGAAGAAACTGTGCTACAGGGCATGATTGATAGACTAATTGAAATTGGAAGGTGCTATGGCATGGAAATGAATGTGGAGAAAACAAAAGTAATGAAAATTTCGAGACAACCAACCCCAGTCACAATAAAGATAGACCAAAAACAACTGGAGAATGTGAAATGTTTTAAATATTTGGGTAGCTTGTTAACAGATGATGGAAGGTGTACTTGTGAAATTAAATCCAGGATTGCCATGGCAAAAGCTGCATTTAGCAAGAAGAAGAATCTTTTTACCAGCAAATTGGACTTAAATTTGAGGAAGAAACTAGTGAAATGCTACATTTGGAGCATAGCTCTGTATGGGGCTGAAACATGGACACTTAGGGCAGTAGATCAGAAACATCTGGAAAGTTTCGAAATGTGGTGTTGGAGAAGGATGGAGAAGATCAGTTGGACAAATTATGTGAGAAATGAAGAAGTGTTAATTAGAGTCAGTGAGCAGAGGAATATCCTACACGAAATAAGAAAACGGAAGGCTAATTGGATTGGTCATGTTTTACGCAGAAACTGCCTTCTAAAAGAAGTTATTGAAGGAAAGATAGAGGGGCAGATAGAAGTGACAAGAAGACGAGGAAGAAGACGTAAGAAGATGCTGGATGACCTTGGGGACAGAAGAGGATACTGTCATTTGAAGGAGAAAGCTCTAGATCGCATTAAGTGGAGGAATTGTTTTGGAAGAGACTGTGGACCTGTCATCTGACAGATTACTGATGATGATGATGATGATATTATTATTATTATATTGGTGCTGTTGTTGTTTGTAGTAGTAGTAGTATTTTACAAACTTAGTCATGAATTTAAATGGTTCCATTTATTTACACAAACATTCTGCGAATTTTACTCTGTCCTGAGACTGTCATTTTTATCATTACTTCCTGAATATATATACATACAGTAATTTACATTTCTGTCTTCTAGGTTATGGCACTGAGCAGTCTGGTAGGCTATCCTGAAGACAGAAGCAGTATTATTGACTATGAAAAAAAATCAACACAAACAATCAATTGATTATATAAACTTTATAAAGCAAAGTCTACAATTTCAACGACACATCTAACCATATTTTGTCATCATCAGGAAGAACTAAAACATGTAGTATTTACAATAATGGATGTAGTATGTTGCTCCAAAACACTGGCAACCACTGCCAAATACGCAGTGCTATACCCCGAAGTGCACAATCTGAATCTTTAGTGCGATGAAAACCCCAATAATCATATATATAATGCTGTATCATTATTTGAAATCACAACTACCTGGAATGACCCGAAACTATTTGTACCAAAAATTCTCTACTTCTTTGATAATATACCATACCAGATGATTCATAAATCATGTGCAAAAATTATCTTCATCTTATCTGTATCTTTTATGCAGTATACGTTGTTAAAACTGCATGGTTTCTTCATTTGAAATTCCAATTCAGAATGCCAAGACAGACTGGCCAACTGACCGTCGGTCGTAAAATGAGACTCAAACTCAGACTCAGACTATCTTCACCATCCTGAATCTGAATTTCAAATAAAGAAGCCATGCAGTTTTAACAAGATTACCTGCATAATTAATATATCCAAGAAATACATAACGTACTGAACGTTTGAATGATAAACACTGTACAGGAGTCTCACTCAGACACTAATTAGAGGTAACAGATACTGTAATGGGCCCTCACCATCTCTGAATAATTACTAGTACATATGTGTAATGTCTGAGAGGAGCTGCTTTAACTTACCCCAAAACTGGAAGAATACTTAACAAAGAAGTCAAAAGATGAGGCACTGCTTCCTTCATTCACTGTTGAGTGTAAGGGTATTTTACAATTTGGGGGTTAGATTGCAGATGGATCTTCCAGCCAGTTGCTGTGTAGCTTTCAAAAAAGAATACTTATTGCCACCTGCATACTATCACTTAACCTCTCTTTTCATTTGCCATCCTGCATAGAAAACAACCAGGTGTCTGATCCTTGAATAATATCCTCTAAACACTGTAATTAACTATGCTTCTCCCAAACTATAGGACATCAGAGGTGAAAAAATGCAACAGAAACCTTGAGCACTGGATGAGGGTCCATATCCAGCTGACTGTAAGAGACATACATCCCACACTTGGCTGAACGGCAAATGGATCATTTTGCTTATAACACTGGATTTTTCAGAAAATACATGACTGGTGTTAGTCACTGTCATTTAAAATACATCTTCAACTGCTATTCATAAATTCTCCTCACCATTATATGTAAAAGATATATATAATTATGGGGCACATGGCAGCATAGTTGGTTGAGGCACTATGATACAAGACAGAAGGTCATGGATTCAAGTCCCGATTAGGTCACTGGATTTTTTTCAAATTGACCTAACTTTTCCAGCTGCACTATGGCCCTGGGGTCAACTCAGTCTCTAACAGTAATAAATACCAGGAATGTTTTTGGAATATTCTTGGGGGTAAAGGGCAGCCGGCGCACAGGGCTGACAACCTTGCCGCCATCTATGAGACGATTGTCTACAAAATGTAGGAACCTCAACATCTCACAACCTATGGGCCTCCACGGCCGGTTACAGGGATACCTTTACTTACTTACTTTTACTTACATATATTTGTATAATTATATAAGACTTTAAATTTTTGTTAAAATATTAGTTATAATAAAAGATTATACAGTTTTCAACCAGCTGTTCATTAAAATGTCAATTTTATTGCAAGATTTTGAAAATCGTTCATATGAGAAAATTCATCCTATTACATCAGAAAGAGTTTGAAGACTGTTTAGAACAACTTAGTTTTCCATTCCACATTCCCAGAATGTTAACACTATTCATCATCCTTCACTGAATGTCAGTACTTAAAAAGAGTTTCTTATGGTCATATCTGCCTCATGGACTGACAATGACAATTAAGTAGACAGAGCATGACACTTCCAATCATTGCTGGCAGTAGCACATTTGATGCATTAGATAATAAAACAATCTATATTTACAGTACAAATTTTAACATGAATTACGCCTTCTGTTATTAGATCTACATCATGAATTCTTCTGATCTAGTAATATGCAGTTGTAAAATTCAGAGTCAGGTTCCAGACCACTGTTTTTGTTATAGTTACTTCTTCATTTAAATACTGAAACTGATAATTTATACATATGGTTTGCTTTCCAAACCATCAAAATCCAATTACAGTAGAACTTGGTTATAACATCATCAAAGGGACCTAAAAATAGTGTCGCTATAAACGAGTGTCGTCGTAACCGAAATGGGCACTTCCACAGTAGCCTTATGTTAGTCACGAAAAATCTACCAAAAACCGAGTTAAAATGTTGCATTTTTTAGTGAAATACGTAGTTAAGTACAGACTAACGTAACATTAACGTGGAATTGCCCAAATGTGTAATATCAAAGACATATTACAGCGCTTTTCACTGACAATACACACCGCACTAATACTGTATATTAAAGGTAGGCCTACTCACCAAATTACAGTAGATTACATCAATTGTTGTGCCTTACTGTACCTAGATACGAGTACAGTAATCAGTTATCTTCATCTGTTTCCTGTTACTTGCCCAATACACACTTTCTAAATTACGTTCAATGTCCATATCAGAGAAATTCAGGAATGAAAATGACGTTACATACGAGGTTGATGCATTTGTGCATGTCGTACTAAGCAAGGTATAAAATCAGTTGCTTTATGAGGAATTAGTTCGTACCATTGAATATTTGACGCAATAGACAAGGTGTCGCAGAAACCGATGTTGCTATAACCAAGTTTTACTGTATATTTTTCATATGCTACTAATATTTTTACATGAGAAAAGTTCATGCCACAAAGGAATTCATGAAAGTTCGATCATTCAGACACTTGAATGTTCTAACAGAAAGAGAATGAGAAATTAAAATGTTACACTCAAGACACACTGTGCTGAAAAGCCTCAATAATTTTACTGTCTGTCCAGTAATCTGAATTATGCATAATAACAATTCTGTACTAAATGAAAAATTTCATCAAAATGTTGGTTCGTTATTAACCCTACTTGACCTGACCCTCCACTTCCAAAAATTGACTAGATTATTGCGCTGGATTTTGGAAGACAAGGGTCCCTGAGCTGAGGAAGGAGGTTTTATTCCCTTTTCTCACCGGCGACTGTGACTGCTTGTATTACTACCAGTGAATGCAAGATGAACCATGATGGTTGTATAGGAATGTAGAATGTCAGGTGTGTCTGTGCGTTTCTTTTTATTTCCTCTTGTAGGACCATCGACTGACTTCTTGCTACCTGTAACATCTACAAACAGAAGAAAGAGCACACCATGGAATTGTGTAGTGTATAAATTCCAAGCTACTACATTTTAAAGTATGATAAGCATTTGAAGAACATGGTTAACTTGTTAAACAGTAAGTTTAAGACAATATTAGGAATAAATTTCAATAATTTACAATTCACCACTTTACTATGAAATAAGAAAAATAAATAAATTATAACAATGTTAATAGGGAGGAGAAATGGTATATGACGAGAGATTACTGGCCTGCAGGTTATGACATAACCTGAATTGATCTGAACAAAAATGAGACAAAAATATGAAAATTGTAAGTATATATTAGCAAAACAGTAAAATCAGTTATTATTACAACCACACAAATGCAAAAAATTTGACAGTAATAATATCTAATAACAATACTGTCTCCAGTGAGTTGTCAAAATGTGACAGCAGGAGTTCTTAAACAATGACCCAGACTGCACCACTGAGTTCAATGAACACAAGGAATGCTAAAGTACTGATAAAAGATGCAATCCAACAAATTACAAAAAAAATAGATATGAAACTAAAAGGAAAATTCTCACAAGAATGACTGAGGTCAAGAAGGGAACAAGTTAGGAAAAATGTCATGCAAAAGGAAGGAATCTGAAGAGGAGTTTTCGAGCAACAGAGATGCCTGGCTGCCTGGTGACCCACATAAAAATGGAAATATTGAAGGAGTATGATGAGAAACTTACATGGAAAGTAAGACAATGCACACAATAACAGGTTTCAAATTAAATGCTTTAAAAATGAAAATTCATGGGGTTGGGGGGGGGGGGGCGCCCGCGTGCATGTGTGTCTTAAGATTTTGAAGATTTTGAATTAAATGTCAATTTTGAGAAGTGTATGCTCATAAAAATAAGCCAGAATACAACAGACATGGAAAGATACCCTGGTTAAGATTTGAACCAGGCATCTGCCAAATACATGTCAGAAGTGTCCAACAACAATTATAAAGCTAAACTAACTGCCATACAGCAGAGATCATCTGGAAGAGCCAATTGCTTAGATAGTCAAGATATTTACTGCTTCTTATGAAACTAGAAGGTTCACTGCCATGTCACTGTTCCACATCCTGAGCCAGACAAGTCAATTCCATGGCATTACACAAAGTGATTCTAAGATACATTTTAACATTATTCTTCCAATTCTGACTATTTCTTTATTCTTAAAAAAGAAACTGGAATAAATGAAAAACTCACAATGAACAGAAGAGTCAAAACAATAAAAATAGGAAGATCATATGCAGATGTTGTTCATGTTTAAAAATACTATATATAGAAAAGATATTGTGACATATTTGTGCTATGCAGGACACCCCCCTTCCCCCATGGTGATGTAACAGCATTGGAGCAATTGCCGCTGCTACGATAACAGCCAGTCAACGCTCCGTCCCAATCCCCCGTGGTGACATAACAGCACTTCCCACTGTGACATAACAAAGGGACACCGCTGGTAACACGAGGCAACAGCGAACAGTATAAAAAGCCGGCTGAGCAGTATGTGACGAGAGTGTGTGATCAGGAGTGACACAGTGTGGATCATGGAGTAACCAGTCAGTTTCAATCTAGCAGTCGCTGAGTCGGGTTGTATCGAGTGCATGGCAGTGACTAAAGCAGGAGAAGTAAATGTGATACTGCAAAGGGCAGTAGTTGTAAAATTGTAAATTGTGTAATTCTGAGAGTGAATGTGCAATAAATTCGCTATATCCAGAATGGTGTGAAGTTATCTGTCACGTTACCACACCCAACACATGACAATATTATTTATTTATTTATGAGATCACAAAAACATGAAATGCATTTGACACACAATACATTATTCTCACTTTCATTTGCTGATACACAATGGTTAATGAGAAGCTTCATAACTTACACTCTTCTCCATGTATATTTAGAATGCTCAAGTCGAGGAGGATGAGGTGGCAGGTCATGTAGCACATATGGGGGTGACAAGGAATGCATATAGGATATTGGAGGGAAAGCCAGAAGGAAAGAGACCACTGGGAAGACAAAGGCGTACATGGGTAGACAATATTATAATTGATCTTAGAGAGAAAGGATGGGATGGCATGGATTGGATTGATCTGGCTCAGGACAGGCACCAGTGGAGGGCTCTTGTGAACACGGTAATGAACCTTCAGGTTCCATAAAATGCTGGGAAATTCTTGAGTAGCTGCAGAATTGGCAGCTCCTCAAGTAGAACTCAGCTCCATGAATGAGTAAGTAAGTACGTATATACTTACCGCATCTCACAACAAACTGAATCAAAACTGACTGACTGACTGACTGACTGACTAAAAAAAGGTGAATCCGTCAGTTATCAGATCCACCAATTCACTAGTATTTTCAATCGCTGCATAAAACAATCAGTCCAGCCATTTATTACTAGACCTCATATCAAATATGAAGAATTAGTACACTTTCCTTTACCTGGCAAAAGTTTGAATCCTATTTCTCCATTGCCAAAATATCCCAGCAGGGGAGTTTTTGGAAAATGCCTCCTGAATGCTGATGATTCCACATTTCGCTTCCCTTGATAATGGTGTCTTCCTCTACCCACACATGCGAACATCAATCCAACACTGCTGCTATAACTAGAAACTGTATGTGCCTTAAGCTGCAAAATAGGCATTTAATAAATAATAATTATAACTTCACTGTTTAACAACACACTTCTGACAAAAATCAGTTTCTCCATACCATGTTTCAGTTCTCAACACCATCATCATTTTGATGTTCATCTTGTTGACTGCGGACATTCATGGAAATGAACATGCACTCTTTCCCAAGTTAGAACCTTCACATGTAAGGTTATTATAAATGCCACTTAATTTTATCACTAAATAATTTTAAACAATATAACTCTGAAAATTGTGCTAGTATACAGACCAGCATCTGTGTCATACATATGGCAGTTTCTTGTTTCATAGTGTTCCAGTTCCATCCCTTTCCTTCTCGTGATTAGGTCATCACTGCTTATTTTGCTAAAGTTCTCCATTCCTTCCCCATATTTCTTTTAAGCGACTATTTAGTGACACCGTCAGTAGTGCGACTACATATCATAGGATGACAAATTGATTAATGAACATGAAGCAGTTAACATGGGATATAGCATATATGAGAAAGATGAGAAATGCATATAACATATAACAATTCCAACACATAACATGTCGGAAAACATGAAAGGAAAAAACCACCTGTTAAGATCTAGCCATTGATATATTAATATTAATGTGGACCTTTGAAAAACATGGGTATGAAGATAATAATTACATTAATCTGGATTAGGACAAGATCCTGTGAACACAGTAATGAAGGAGCAGAATATCCAAGTAGCTGAGCAATTATTAGTTTCTCAAGAATGACTGCTCCATGGAGCTGTTTATGCGTTACATTAAGCTTAATCGCTGTATGTCATGCATATTATTGTTCAATGGAACAACTGCAATTTAAACTCCTTTTGCCTATAGAAAGAACTTCACAGAAATGTATATATTAAATAGAATATTTAATATTTAAATTGCTTATTTATATATTAAATTTTATAGATTAGTACATACCTCTTGCATGGCTTTGTCTACATCCCTTTCAGTAGCAACATTTCGACCTAGGATTGTTGAAGCCACACACACCCCTTCACCCAAGAATGCTACACCCACCATGATAGGAAAACTATCACTGAAACCACCGACATCACTAATTATGCCACCGGCAACAGCCATAGTCTCTTCTTGCCTGCAAACAAATAAATACAGGAAATATATATTGTATGATTTACAAAGGAAAAATGTAAAACTTAATAAACATAACAGAAGAAATAAATTCCGTACCTTTAGTAACTCATTAAGGTTAATGTTATATTTTAGCGTCCTGTTGCACTGATTTATGTCCATGATTTATTCTGACCGTCTTACAGTGCATACATTTATTCACCTTACTCTTCTCTCTTGCACTACATGTTTCGGCACTAAAGTGCCGACTCGCGTACTGAAATACGACATAAGGATGACAAATCCTGAACAGTTTTAACATTTTTAATATTTAAAATTTAGCAATATATATGATGAATATATATTTTAGTTATTTTAGTATAAAGACAACAGGGCATGCAATGCAGTAGTTCGACGTACATCGAAAAGCACCTGAAGATGGCACTTTAGTGCCGAAACATGTAGTGCAAGAGAGAAGAGTAAGGTGAATAAATGTATGCACTGTAAGATGGTCAGAATAAATCATGGTCATTAAGGTTAACCTACAGTATGTTTCACAGCTCAAGTAGTTAAGCCCTGATTTCTCATCATGGGTCCTCTGGTTCAATAGCAGGTGACTTCATGCCAGATTTGTAGCAGACAAAGTGGCATGAAACAACTTTTATTCTCCCTCTTTCATTTCTCCCCGCTAATCAACATTCCATCATTGTACAGTACTCATTTGTCACTGCTTCCTAAAACATGCCCTGACCATGAGATCATTATCCTTGGTCTGTAAGTTTGGGGCTGCACCTTTGACCAAGCACAAGTCTGGTTACAGAGTAAGGAAATCGGTCTTATAACTGCCAAGTGAGACTCAGGGTCTTTCACTGGAGACCAGTTTTAGGCTCTCCTGTTGTCCCATGGAAGAGCCTGTATCCTTGCAGATATCAAACCACAGTACCAAAACTTGCAAAAGCAGATTCATATATCATGAAATTCATATAGTTTTAACTTATACTGAACTTAATCAAATAAAAACATATATAAATACATGAAACACACTGTATTTATCCAACAATAAGACAATTTCCTACGTTTGTTCACATGTCTTAAGTATGTGAATGAAGAAAATGTATAAAATAACGAATGTAATTCTTCATATGCATCTGGAAATTGTGGAACAGCTTGAAATGTGCATATCTCTCTGTAATTGTAGTTCATAAAAGAATTTTAAAAGCAGTAAATCATTACATTTTTGTTACCATTACTACCATATTAATATGATTCATTCGGTTCAGCATTTCTGGAGCAGCAGTTCTCCTTTCGAGGTATATTTTGTAATGATGCAATAACCATCAGATATGAATCCATATAGCCAATGTTTCTGCTACTGTTCAACGAAAGAAAATGCTGCACGAAGCAGAAATATACTGATACCCCAGACACGTGACGTCACTTAGTTTGTAAATGAAGAATAAATTATGGCGATTGCCAAAAACTTATTTAAGGTACAGTATGTGGCATTAGTGCTTCTACTGAACATGTACACATAATTGATGTTATTATTTATTATTTATATAAAAGTTTTATATTTTTAAAATACAGTAATTATAGTAAGTGTGGTTATTAAACAGAAGTTAATAAATCTTAATATGCAATCATGGATAACCACATGGAAGCAGCAGACTTCTAATAATATTCCTTCATTCTTGTGAAATGCATAAGATGACAATTTTAAATTAATGGCTTTCAGATAGGCCAAACTAACTGTGATGGCGTGGCATCCAGAATATACCATGTATTATGACTGAGAAAAGAAAAAGAACAGTTATTTAGATAAATGTTTTACCACAGAAGCACTCCGTATATCTAAAATGACACATTATCAAAAGACAGTGAAATAAAATTACATTTGTGCCACAGAATTACACCAAAAATTTTATCAGAAAAAGTATTAAAATATAGTTACCTTACAATTTTCACCTAATAATGAGACAAATACACTACATCTTATTAACTGGGAAGGCAGTTTCATGAAAACTAACAGCAGTTCCAAAGTTACTGAGGAAAGTACATGGGGACACAGCTTAACACTTCTCTTATTATTATTTTAAAGAAATGACACCTAGAAATGACAAAAAGAAATTGAATAAATATACACTAACCTGTTTTGCAAAGAAGAAACAAGATGGATAATTGCAGGTATCAGCAACACAGCCTCACGGCAGAACAGCAGTAGACATTGTACAGATTCATCTGTTGGGATTCCTGTCAATTCCTCCATGACTTCTGCATTCAGACCCTGCGGCTAAAATATAAAAAATAGTTAGTAAAAGAGACAACAGTTTCTTACCTTTGACTTTTGTTTCATCTGCAGACTCAGTCCTTGTGTGAAGATAAACACCCTACTATTATTTTTGCATAAAAACACTAACCCATTCGCTTCCAGGAAAAATGATAATAATAAGACATTTATGCAGACAAATTCAAGGTACCAAACTATTTACTAATAGTTTCAATGTGTCTGCAATTCAAACATTCCATGCTCCAAATCTCTGACTGACTGACTGACTGACTGACTGAATTACTTAACAAGGACGTTGACTGATCACTACTCCATGGTACATAGTTTCCACTATGCAGCTGAAAGTATGTTTCCAAAAGACTGTCATTTGACTGCAGCCATGATATTTCAATCCAAATAACATACTGTGGCATATTTACTCCATGAAAGAACTGTTTAGCCACAGAAACAGCCATTGCTAACTAATACATGGTCACAACAATACAACAAAGGGGCTATGCAATCCATTTCTAGGCAATGGCTCAGTAAACACATTTCCACGTATCAGACAGTGCTATGCAACACAGTGATGTCATCAACAAAACAGACTGTGTTTTCTGTGGCGTCTGTGCAGAGTGCTTATAGGAGAAGTGAATTCAGAAGCTAGGAGCAGTTGAGAGTACAAGGACGAGAATGGAGCATGTCCTTAGTGAATTGTGAATATTAGTTAAGTTCAGATTAGGACAGAGTAGTACAAAGTGACTGAAGACAAGAAGACTTCACAGTGATTTGAAGTGATAGTTTCTGTGTTGAGATCCATCGCTAGGAGACGACTAGTGGAAACTGAGAATCCTAGTGCATGTGCAACAGTGAATTGTAAATTGTGTAAATCAGCAATAGCGCTGTATTAATTGTAATTAAGAGGGATTGTAACCGAAGTGCCAATAAACCCAATCATCCGAACTATAACCCATTAATTTTGTCACACATACCCTCCTACATGTGACAATATTTCAACCTATTTCACTATGATTTATTTAATACAGTGACATGACAGCTGAAAGCTGGAACAGTGGAGCCAGAAGAGACGGCCGTTGCTAGGCAACGACTCAGTAAACAGCTTTCCATAACAACAAATGTGCAGAGAACAACAGAAAAACTGCTGGAAGTGACTTTTTCTGTGTGATCTACCACAAGGCTATATAACAAGGCCTAACTGGACAAGAGAGAGTTGAGCTGCACTTGAGATTAAGTTGTGAATCAGTAGCCAGTCAGTAAGAACGTGAATACAGAAGTATAGGAGTTTCACTGTTAGATGCCACTACACAGCAACAGCTAGTGAAGATTGAGAAGACTTAGTGTTTGCAAGAATGATTGGTAGAGCATGCAGCAAGTGAAACTGATATAGTTACTTGCAGTTACAAGTTGTAAGTGTTCAATCCAAACCTCATGTTTAAAAATGCAATAACTGGTGTCAAAAGTAGGATTAACTGCATTGGACTGGACTGATTGGATTAAATAAACCAATGGATTGAAATGCCAGATTGGAACCAACATGATGAATAATCATGGTGGATTTCAAACGTCTGGCAGGCGTCATGGAAGACATGAAAGCAAGGATGAACATAAATCAAGAAAAGAGAGAGGCAATCTTAGAATGGATGAAGACCGAGGTAGATGACAAACAAGAGGAGATGAAGGCCTGCCAAGAAATGACAGTGGCCTGTCTAAAAAAGATGAAGGCCAATCAAGAAAAGACACTGGCGAAGATAGAGGCCTATCTAGAAAAGAGGGAGGCCAACCAGGAAAAGTTGGAGGTTGATGAAGAAAAGACAGAGGATGTAACAGAGCACTATAAAGGAGCATTCGAAGTATCGCCTTCTTACTGCCCTGCATGGCCAGGCTTCTGATGCTCTACATGGAGACCCTAAAGCAGTGTTTCTCAACAGCCAGGCCATGGCCCGGTACCAGGCCCTCACAGCAATTATACCAGGCCCTTGTCTTATAAAAAAATAATTTACCAGGCTGCGGTCTCACAAAGGTTGAGAACCACTGCTGTAAAGGAGTAACATATCAAATATTACTGGGGCACCTGAGTACTGATTTGGGGACCAGCACCTGGCTGCAGGGTACCGCAATCAACTGAAAACATGGACACAAAACAATGATGAGCCCCTGAAGGAGTTTTTCACCACCATCATACAGATGGCCCCCATGCCTTTCTTATATTACATGAGGACCATGTTTGTAGGGGAGGAGGCAGGGCATTCGGTGATGGTATAAGAGACTGAAGCATAAAACAGCAGCTCCTTCTGGAAGACAAGAAGACACTTAATGAGACTCTCAGGCAGACCCCAAGCTAGCAGTCAGGCCCCAGAAAATGAGTGACTGGACATGGCAGAAGCAGTGCCACCAGCCCCCAAATGAAAGAAGAGATTACCAACAGCTTATATGGTTGGTGCTGTAGTAGCACTGGCCACTTCTGAAAATTCTGTCACACAAAACCAGATGCATTGACCCCAAGACAGTGTTGAAGTGCCATTCATGAGGCCAATCACAGATGATACAGACATGTCCATTGGAGAAAACGAAATGGTGACATGCCTACAGACTACTCAGAACAAGCAACCCTATGGGGGTGCAATGTGACATGAGAGCTGAAAGAGAGAACATTTCAGCTATAAAAAGTGACCACTGCATGGGCTTGGTAAACACCTCTTCGCATCAACGAATGCACAGGCAACAATAGAAGAACTGTTGGAAGAAATATTTTCCATGTGATCCAGCCTGAGACTATATAATGAGCACCAACAAGCCAGAGTTGAGTTGCAGTCGAGAGTAAGTTGTGAGTCAGTTGCCAGGCAGCAAAGACATGAGCATGGAAGAAGAGTAGCTACACTAGTAAACAATGCTACCAAGCAACAGCTGGTGGAGACACAGCAGACTGAGATGATAGGTGTTCAAAAAATTCGGTTATCAGTCCAACCCCTGTGTTGAGTCACTAACACGTGATAGTATTATCCCCTCACATACTTAAGTTTATAAACACTATCCGAAAACTTCATAAACAGGATGTGAAGGAGTTATTATATTTATGACAATTTGAATACAATTTTGTTGCCAGCATGAAATTTTCATTCACACAGAATCCAGGGATATTTGAGTCTCTGATTAGTATAATCCTGTTAAAGTAGGGAAAGAAATGATGTTATGGAGAAATACACTTTTAATCACTGAATCTAATAATATGTTCAGAGAAATTATAAAATTGGATGAAAGTTCACACACTTCTCTGTTGCCTGAATTCCAACTTACTTTACTTCTCTGAAGTTTGGTAACTTGACTCTTGTCCAGTTGAAAGGTACGAAAAGTAACTCCAGGCATGTCTGGGAGGAGGAGTACTGAGTAGGCTCGGGAGTTCTCAAGTTCCACTGTTTCAGTGAGATCAGGTATGGTGCCTACAATACCATACCCTTTAAGGCATATGAGTGGACAAGATGGCTGCAGTTCAGCTCGCACATACTCCCATACTAAGAATATAAATAAGAACTGTGAGCTGCTATAAATAATATAATAATTGGAAAGTGCTGTCTTCTGGGTTGTAACATTGTGTAGACCTGTATGTTTTGGAGGAACACACTGCCTCCATCTTCAAGGTCAAAAAGCAGGCCAAATATTCAGGAAGATGCAGGCAGTAAGCACAGTTTGCTCTTCAACCTTGAAAATGGATGCGATATATTCTTCCAAAACATCACTGAATTTATGCTGATTATATGGCACTACATCCCAGAAGACAGTACTTTTCATAGCCATCGCTATGAAAACTCAAATCTAACAATATAATAATTAAAATCATTGGCTAAGGGAAATTAGTGATTTCAAAAATAACATTTATGGGCTGGTACAACAGATGCCCATGAGACAGTATTACCAAGGAACTTGGACTCTCTCCAATCCAATCACTATATATTCCTTACTTTAAAAAGTACGAGGGGGTACCCAAAAGAAACCAAACTTATTTTTTTTAAACTTATTTATTCAAATTTTAAGCACAAACCTTCAATTCCCTTCAAAGTACTCTCCACTTACACTAATACACTTGACTAGTCTTTTATTCCATTTTTCAAAACACTGTCTAAATTCATCTTTTGAGATGCTTGACAGCGCCTCCGTCGTTTTTTTTCTTCACCTCAGCAACATCAGCAAAACGCTGAAAAAAAGTTTTGATCATTTTGGGACTCTTCTTTCAAAGCACAGCATGCTTCCATGCGACCTTGTTTTTGTTCAGCAGTCAGCAGTCATGGCACGAATTTCGCAGCCACCCTTTTCATTCCCAAATCTTCTGTCAAAATTCGCTGAACTGAGCTCCAAGTCACTCCCGACAGCTCCACAATTTCTTCAATGGTCTGTCGTCAATCTTCCTTGATGATTTCACGAATTTTTTCAACATTTTCATGTGTTCGGGCCATTGCAAAAACGACGATCACACAAAACAGTTGTCACTATAAACTCTGCCGAAACTAGTCCTTACCTTCTGAAGCAACGGTAGTCAGCTTACTGACTCAGTAATGTTAGCTCTATGTGCTCATAGCGGCAAAACGCGGTACTACAAAAGCTCTGCCCACAAAAAAATTAGTTCGGTTTCTTTTGGGTACCCCATCGTATATGGTACAGCTATAAGTGCTTATTTCTAGGCTATTTAATAGCAGCAAAAATTAAATTCCAAAATTTTTCCTATGCCTTTGCACCAAGCCATGGGTGCAGACATGATGCAAAGAGATAAAATGTCACACGTTAAATCTTAGGACTCTACAAAGGTGACTGTACAGCATCCCATTCTAGTTGCTTTACCTCCAGAGAGAAAGCCATTAGGCAGGAGGCTAGATAGGCCACACAGCCTGTAGGAATTTCTTGGGAAAGAAGAAACTCTCTGCCCCTTCTGGGAATTAACCCAGTTATCGAACCCAGAGCCAGTCACTTTACAGATTGAGCTATCCTGCCTCATGACAGAGTTCATGTAGTGCAGACATTTCTCTGGGACAGAACATGCACAGTTGTGAAGGAATTATGAACAGGCTTTCTGTATAATAAAATATGATACAGAACCAGGTAATTTTTGTTTCCTTTGCTCACATGAACAATCTGAACTGTCACCATTCACCCCCCCCTCAAAATCCAGTAACAGAACCTTCTAAATAACATCCAGAATAACACAATCTATGAAGGACTAGAAATTGACAACAACAAATGGAATATCACACAAAATGTCAAATTAAAATATAATTTGAAATAATCAAGGCTATAAAAATAAAAACAATATTGTAACCTTAGAAAAACATGAGTGCAACACAAATTTAATGAACACAATAACACAGTTTTACAAATACAGACCATATATACAAATCACGCATTTACAACAATGAAAAATGTGACATAAACAATAAAACTTACAAATTACGAATACAAATTGCTAACTTTTACATTAGAAACAACAAATGTGTGAACACACAAATATTTTTATGGCTCATGTCATTATGTACTGATCACAGTAGCCGCATTATCTAAGGCATGAACTGTCTTCACCCGCTCGAACACTGGAATCATGGGTTTGAATCCCACTAGATTCATGGATGTCTGGGTGCATTTATTGTCTGTTTGTGCTGGCCTGTGTACATGCAGTGGCCTTGTGACAGGCTGCCCCCCCCCCCATCCAGGAGTTCTACTGACTAAGTAAGAGATCCAGAAACTGAAAAAACGGCCAAGGCCCAACAAAGGGCTGTAAAGCCATGGACGGACGGAGGGACAGACAGACATATATGTCATTAGGTGTATTTCATAACTGAACTTGCATGTTTCTAAAAAAATTTAACATTTCAAAATCAATTAACAAATATAATAAACTTACCACAAAAATAATTTATATATATTTATTTATTTAATTATGTATTTATCTATCTATTTATTTGTATGATAGGAGTAAAATAGCAGCTTGCTTCAAATATACAGGGTGTCCCAGGAGGAATGGACCAAACTTCGGGAGGGTGTTCCTTATGTTAAAGTATGCCGATATAACACAAAA